TATATATATATACAAGTAGAGCGGGATGGTCTTACCAAGGGACGAGCATATGGCGCCATAGCCAAAGAGGTAGAGCGTGGAACCTGATCAATGCGTGCACCAAACGTGGTTGCTTGGTTGCGCTGGCAATCAGTTTGAGTACGTTCAGCTACGGAGAGAAAAAAATGAGTAGTTCACTTAGGAAAGAGTAAAGTCTGAACCACACAATGTACAAATGGATAACCTGTAGGTTTGGATGAAAAACACCAGGTCTACATTAACTTAGACTAGAACAATGACGGAGTAGAAGAACTAGCCATAAAGCAAGCAGGAATACTCCAGGAATGAACTTGAACGGAACCAAACGAAAACGTTTGGTGACAATCGGTAGATTTGTTGGTGGGCTGACTGTATGGTTGTCGACCCACGTAGAGTCATTAGCAAAACTGTGGGGTGGGGGTGGAAATCCCAACCCGACCAAAGGTCACAGCATCTCTCACACAACTATCATAGTACTAGCTCACCCACACAGACGGACAGAAGGTTCAAACGACGTTCAAGAGAGATCGTCAAATGAACCGAATCCGAAGAACTGGACCCTAGGCAGGACCCAAACACATGTAGGTTTCCCCACCGTCCCAACACTTGTTCAACCACTCTAACAGACTAAAATCCGTCGGCCGACACCCAACAGAGATTTAGCTTGACTTAGCTGATTGGTTCTCCTTCCGCCTTAAATCTCGACCAACCTAGGAACCAAGTCACTTGGCCTGACGAAGCTTTTGTGTCAAAGGCGAAACTTTGCCCAGCAATAAATCTACAGATTGTCATCAAACTTTTGCGAAAACGGTGACCACTAAGTCGGTTCCAAGTATTTTTCACCTGATGGAACTAGAGGTCATTTGAAAAAGGCAGCGCTCTCAAATACCTAGAGGTGAGCCAAGAATAATCTAAATTTGGCCAAGATGTCGTGAATGGGGCGTAAGGGTATTACGACCTGGAGTTAGAATATCATTAAGGATGTGCGCTTCAGACTGGATATCCGGTGGAGCGAGTCAACTTGGAACACATAAATACGCTTGCCATAGGCATTTTGGTCACCGTAAAACCACTTAAGATTCTTTGTTATCTAGAAACACCGAAATTCATGGTATCTCAAAGTGGTGTAAACTGTATTCGACTGAGCAAGCGTGCAGCCAGCGCCACTTGTGTCGCACAACCTTGTACAGATCATGAACTCCGGAGTTATCGGCCACAAAATAAGCAGAATATTCAGGGCCAGTACAGGAAATGTGGTACATAGGTCAACCTGATGGGAGTACAATGCAGGGGCGAAATAATTTGGATCACCTGTGACGAGATTTAAGAGATCAGTTAAAATGGGATCCTTCAGAAGGGGATAGCTGTACACCGAGATTTGTTATGGACGGCAGAATTAAATGAAGTCATTGAAACCCCGAAATTTGAATTTCGCTTAAGTTCTGTTTCTAGGAATCAGAAAATAGCTTAGGATGTGATAGGACAGGTAAAACGTTTGGAGTGATAGATGGTGATCAGAAACCACGAAAAAAGCTGCACCTGAAAAGATGCCTCGCTAGATGTGGACGAGTAGGCGTTCAAACAGTGCTTGAACACTCGTGATTTCTCCATGACCAGATAGTCCGCTGTATCCCCAACACTTTCAGCCAATAGACGAGTAATCCACTGACGCTCCATACGATACTGCAAGAAAACAGAGAGAAATAAAATGGGGTGGAAAAAGGAGGTTGTGTGCATTTCGATGGCGATCACACCTCATCTGTCAGTTGCTATCAGGGTGTCTTCCTATGCACTTGGAGTGTTTTGCCAGTCAAATTAAATATCGTTCTGTCCGTGGTCCACGCTAGTCGGAATGATGTGGGAATTCGGGACTAGACCATCAGAGTGCGACACTATTGGTGTTTCCACAGTAACGGTATGCTCAGTACATAGAACACAACCGCTATACTTACTTGCGTGCTAGTAGAGAAGAATGTGCGCAGAAAATCGGGAACTTCGTTTAAATCCAGAGCCGGTTTTGAAAGAAAACAATTCCAGACAGACTGATAGAGGTGATTTTCTGTGATAAATTAAGAAAAGAAATTTAGGGACTACCATACTGCGGGAATACAGCACAAATCAGAATTCGCATAAGCTAACCAAAGTTTGTCATGTTTGTCATATTCACTTGACTTAACGATCGCATTTGGGTTATGCTGAGTAAGGCAAAAACTTCAAGGTAAGCGGGTTCCAGCTGTTGCTACCATCTTTGTAGTAGAAAATCGCTTTTGGTACCGATAGATATCAGCGGCAAAGGCGTGAGGTGCAAACTTCAAGGTAAGCGGGTTCCAGCTGTTGCTACCATCTTTGGAGTAGAAAATCCCTTTTGGTACCGATAGATATCAGGGGCAAAGGCGTGACAGGCAGGCAAATAAACGTGAGCGTCCTCTGTAGAACACCCGTCTGGTCAGTGATCCCAGTTCACCGTCACGCACTTGTTCACGTTGTTCACTTGGACGTCCAACTGCAAGACCCACCAAATCTCTAACAATTAGCCAAAAAGTTCGAGTCATAGTGGACAGGTAATACAGGTGCTCTCAGCGAAGGATGAACGAATAGTGCCAGCGTAAGCTGTGTTACAGTTGGATTGGAGATTGGACACTAAAAATAGAGACTCGTAGACACGAAATGAGATCGGTTCAGTTGGATGGCACGTGATTGCTCATCTGAACAACTGGTGTGGTTGAAAAGACATCACTTATGCTGACGTAGTAGTAAACGAAACCGTTGCATCCAATAAACTTCAAGCCCTAGTTGTGCACTGCAAACAAAATGCAACTGTTGCTTGAGAAATCACCCTAGCTGTTCATAAACAAAACTAGCGTCGTCAGATCAGACTGATTTACAAAAGTAATCGATATATTGTTTACCTGGTTTACCGAGCAGCTGCAGGCTACGAATGAAGAAGTTCGCATGCACTCTGGTTAATCTGCCGCCAGTGTCCAGAGCTGATGAAAACATCCATCTCCTTCGGCCATTGCCTCCTATAGCGCGACCCCCACCCGAGGCCAGACTGTTCCGCAATGTATCCAGAATAAACATGATCTGAATGATTGAGAGAAACGAAATCCAACCAACTGAGAGTTTAATTTACCATGTGCAGAGATAACGAGTACATTTTGTCCTACACTTTTGACATTGTGATACTGGTCCCTGTATTAGCCGCATGCTGAGCTATGATCACATCATGAAGTACCTGCCACAGAAGGAACACTACTGATAAGCCTGCTGAAAACTCACCGACAACCTACGGCCAGTTCCGCCCTTCTTCGGGCTTATTGGGTGGGCCGTTTCCCCACTTGCCTTCAAGTGTATGTTTCACTTGAACCCAAATTGAATACCATCCGCGAAATACAATCACTTGCACAGCAATTTGGGTCCAGAGGGATAGTTAACTGAATCCAAGTTTAATCTCCCATTTACGGTATCCTTCGGTGTTCCCCGAGTTCTAAATATGTTTCAACACCAACCGGATCAAACGCTATAGAGCGCGTTAAGGTAAACGAGACGAGACGTAGACACTTTCTAATTGTAGGCCTGGGCTCTGACAAAGCCATATCCACATGCGGTGTGTTGAGACCGCTATTGATGTGTCTGTGAGATATCGGCATCATCCGAGTACAGAAACCTAAGCCGTCTGTGTAATCTAATCTGACTAGTACACTAGCCTGAGGTATTACAGCGTTATTACCTTAGACAGACACAAGATGATGGATGAAGGGATCGACATTGTGAGAAAGAAATGTACTTTCGAAGCCAACTCAAACTCAGTCACGGAAATAACTGATCAATGGCTCGAATCGGCTCGGTAAAATGAGTTCCGTTCGCAGTTAACCACTGAAGTGCTTGGATTATAAGCCAAACGAACGGCATGAGCTCAAACAAAGGTCAAGTGCGGGTTGTTAAGCAGGCGCGACCCAAATCATTCGCTTTCATTCCGATCACAAAATGTTCCAACAGCTTTGGAAGAGAAGCATATCCCACACAGAGTCAAACTGCCACCTGCTGTCGACCAGAGTGAATTCAAGCGTGAATTCCGTAGGAAATAATAACAAATCGGTGAGTGGGCATCGAATAGGTAGGGCGGTACTGGTTCCAGAATCTCAAGAACGATTGGTATCGAAATACTAAGCGAACTGCTGTGGACCTACTGAAGCATTCAAAAGTCCATATCAAATGGTAATCTTCTGTAAACACTTCGGAGAAAGGTGATCCTGACTGAGACATCATTGTCAAGGTAGAGATTACCGAAAAGGCGTGCGGTGTCAGTGTAGTTGTCCTCCCTTGAGGAGATGATACATTCCTTAAAGTGGCTTGACCTTGCAGGTGTATTTTCGTAAGGCCAAACTAGCAGGAAAGACTACTCGCTTTGGTTGGTCTTCCAAAAGCGGACGGTTGCAGTTCGGTGAATCGAAAGGCAAACAGTTAAATTCACGAAAAATAGTCGATGACCATTAACTAAAAACAAAGTAGCATAATGTCTGTGCGTTTCCATAATGTTGCGTGAATTGTGCCCCCTCTCGTACCCATTGGCATAACGTACAAAAATGCATAGCACGAAGTGCGACTAAATTCAAATGGCGAGCTGACCTGTACACGTTCTGGGAAAAGCTGCAAAGTGGTTCCTGATGTTCCTTTTTTGTTTACCTGCAACCGGGTCGACTGCCAACTCTCCAAAAGTTCACGATATTTTGCAATCACAGTGCGCGACATAGAACGCAAATGCTTCGAATAACTTGACAATCCAGCAACCGCAAACGCAACAGCGTTTCGGGAATAAAAGGCACGCAAAAATTGGTCCAAGTTGCCTTTGTTTGGAAGACCGGATTCCGAAGTCATTGTATTGCCTGAATGAAACAGAATGTCACAACGGGGGGTAAACAACAGAAGCACCGGACGAAAAAGAACGCATTCATGAGGGCACGAAAATCTGTATTTACTGCGATGCGTTTCACACTTCACGTCTAACACGCTTTAGGCAGTAAGAGCACCAAAAATGCGGTACAATCATGATTCGGGCTATTACTTCTCAATTACGGGGACTCTTCGGTTTGCCGGACGCTGAGGAATCTCCAGCAGAAATTCAGCTAACTGTTACATCGGACCAGTAACAAGATACATGGATTTAGAAGCTCACTGGACCCATTCGGGACCAGCTTACATGCACTAGACTGTAATGGCTTAAAGAAGTGAGCAAGAACAGTGAACTGTTACCGAAAAAATCGTTCATGTAATGGCTTAAAGAAGTGAGCAAGAACAGTGAACTGTTACCGAAAAAAATCGTTCAGCTGTAGCATACTTTCGCTGCCTAACTGCCATGTCACACGAAGGAGGCACAAGGGTTGGGATACTGCCAGGTTGCCCAAGCCTAGACAGGGGAAGTCGAGAGGCAGAGGTCGGGTTCGAACCACGGGCCTTCCGGTCAGCCAATTCGCGCTTCAACCACTTTGTGCTAGGATTCCGACAATCGCACACCATGCGCATAGAACCCCTGCAATCTTGGGGTTCCTTGACTAAAATATTGCGTTCAACTCTGTTCCTTCCGATTGCACAACAAGCCGTACCCCAGAAATTCGTGACTATCAGGTGTTGTTTATACTCACGTAAATATGGGAGCGTGAGAGTGTGCGGGAAGCCTTCCTGCACACAGTGGTGTCCGACAAGGGTATTAACTCTCCCCTTGGTCATTTCGTCATTCATGGACTAATGAACTGAACACTGAAAGTCTACCAGAGCGGGAACCTTGTCGAAGTAGAATATGCAGACCATACCCTTCTAATTTCTGAACAACAGCAGGAAACTCAACCCTAGTAGAAAAGCCGACCAAGGACATCCAGACTTTCGGCAAGTGCTTCGTAAGTAGTCTTTGAACACGATTCTAGAAATTCACGGAGTGACACTGGAAGGTGGAGCGGAAACGGAACAGTATACGTACCTCAGATGTGGCATTGGCTCTGATAGTAATGCGGAAGATGAAACATATGAATCTCAAACGTCATGATTGCGTTTGCCACAAGTAGCGCAAATACTAAAAGGGCTGGGTTTCAAAGGACGCGTTTATCAGACTACATTGCGGCATGCGTTGTTGGGCGGCTGTGGGACTAGGCGGATTATATGAGACATTATCAGGTCTTTGACAACTGATGTCTTAGAGCTACCGCTAGAATCGGCTGGAAGCACCGAATTCACAGTGAGGTGATCGGGAAATAGGTCGTTGTTGAAACAGACCACAATTCCCCAAAAGGATGCAACCAGCACTGCATATCGAATTACTACCTGCTGGGAAGAGCGCTGTTTTCCGTGCCTAATTCGGAGTGGGGAAACCTCGAGGTTGACAAGATTAGGTTAGATTTTACGAAAAACTTGGGCCCTGTTGGTGTCGTTCGCTTTCTAGGGTGGCGACCATGCGGCTTTCCATGTATCTGGCTGGATACACTGAAGAACCTGGCGACTAACCGATGTCAGTCTCTATCCAGATGGTCTGACTAGGCATTAGAGGTGTAGACATTTCGGAAGCTTGTAGTAGGCTAGTTTTAGGCTCCCTTTCCTGCCTCTTGTTCTCATCTTACCACTATAGGGCTTTATTTAAACAGAGTGAAGCAGTTGAGCACTAGATTTTTCATTTAGTGTTGCTTTGATGGAAGACGATGACATGCCCGGGACAAGCGATGACAATTTTTCTGCTTTATCGGGCTAGTTCAACAATACCAGGAAAGACGCTTTGAGGGAAGCACAACATGTGACTCCATGGCTCAAACGAATTTCAAAGAGAAGTATCCGAAACTCACAGAGTGAAAGATAGTGATGCAGAGTATGCAAGATAAAACAAGGATCCAACAACTCCATATCCTCCACCGGTATGTTGTAGTTTCTTGAGCTGCTCTGACCCTGTATAGAAAGAGGAAATATAATGACACAGAGGGTCGAAGAAGGTGCCCCAAAATCAAAAACTACGATAATTCGAAACAACCACGAAAAAGTAGTGGGCAATAATTACGGGAACACGGATAGCTGAACTCATTTGGCATCATCCAATCAAATAAAACAATTCGAATCAGAACTGTAGTATTTTGCCATTTCCCTGACTGACGTCTTCAGTGCGCTTGAGGTATTGAAAAAGACTGCTTCAGCCATATAGGGGCCTTGCAGTGATGCTCAATGTGCACTTGAATGTGTACACGACAGACTGACAAAGATATCCAGAAAAAAATACAGGAAGTCATTAAGGTGGGAGACAGTGAGGTGCTGTCGTGTTAAGACTGTGCCTTATCACCATCCAGTCTAACGAAGCGTGTCAAAAATCAACCGTGCTTTTCCGTCTCATTTCACCCGCCATGTTCATCTAAAGAAAAAAATATAATCCTACACCATAAAGAATCGTGATGGTAACGTTGTTTACTATGAACTGTGCTTTTGCCACACCACATAGTCTGGGTCATCCACGCAACACATTCATATGCCTATGCGTTATGAAGTTGGAGGATCACGGAGCACTCATTGATTACACCTGACACCCAAAGTTAATATTAAGGACCCGTTTTGAGGCTACATATTTTTATCTGGTTATTTAGGTACCACATCCAATTTACATTGACACGGACTGTGCGGCAACTCCCTAGTTTCCTCGGCAATCTCCCCACCTAGACAGGCCAGCCAGAAAAGTGATCGAAAATTTCTGAGCACTACCTCATACTTTCATTAACCTATAAGTAACTAAGAGTACGAATAATTTCACAAGACGAGTGAAACATTCATCAAAGAAGTCGGGAAGCCAGTCAGTATCTGTCCAAGTAATGTGGTTTCCGTGATTGAAGGATGAGTAGCGCTAATCTTGTCTAGGTGTGAGTTAATCACAATGAGAATCGGGGGCTCGTGGCCAGAGGATATGTGTTCGAACTACTGGCTCGGAGGTAGCGGGATCGAAACATTGGAGCTTCGTAAGATTCTCGCAGTTGACGATTTCGAATAGGAATGAAACAGCTGTACAGTGCTTGGGTCTTTCAGCAGAGCGGCTTCACGTACGTCATTCACCTAGGCGCCATTTACAAACGATCAAAGGATTTGCATTATGTTTTTTAATTAATTCAGGTAGTTCAGACCGACAACATAGCTCGTCCATGAGTGATAAACACGACCTCAAAAGGGTCTTACAATCACTAGTGGAATCATCGAACATCAAGTACTTCATGTGAGGCTAAGCGGTGCCTCTCGATAAGGTTGAATTCTCTCAGCACTCAACATGATTTCCAAGGATTTCTTCATGCGAGAGACTAAAAGTGATCAGTAAACAGCATCAGAAGGGCGGCTGAGCTAAGTTGATCAGAAGCGCAACAAATCGAGCCAAGTCGATATGCCTAATGTTCATTTGCAAACTATGGTCACATGTCATCGTAAGCGACTGATTTCAAAAAATGCAAACAAGCCCCCTTATCTGGCCTGGATTCAGCTTGCCGAATCACTTAGCCTACAACACACAGTGACAGCTATTAAAGCATCTGATAGTTGTAATACAGTGGTAACGAAGGTGGGGCACGAAATGAAACGAAGCGGAGTAAGTCGGTATTTATCGAATTAGTTTGACTGATTCCTTTGTTGTACAGTCATCTCACTAAAATGCCACTTTTGAGGAACTCGAAAAGTTGACTTTATCTAAAAGTGGTCTTCGTCTGGGAGGGGAAATAGATCTCTCTGTGAAACCGATACGAACCTGTGGTGTTATCTTGTGTCCAAGGTGGTTTATTTGCCTATTTTGCCACGGCTAAATAAATATGGTGTCAGTAATCGCATGATTATATTTTTTCCCAACAGGCTCTCGAGTAGATGCGACCTCTTCGCAACGGCCGTTTTCGGGAACTGTTTTGCTAAAAAACGCCGCAAATATCTATACTGCATCAGTAGTACATTCAGCGAAGACAAATCTTGTAAACCTACGCATAGAATAGAATGGAATTGAAAAATAGACCGGAAAAGTAAATTGCAACCAAATTTATATTGAGAGAGCAGTATTCCCATCCATTTCTTTTCTAGACCGGAATTCCACTGGGTTCTGATGTCTTTTGGTGTGTGTAAGGAGCACATTTTGTTGATTTTCAGCGAAGCTTCAGGTGATTCGCCTTTTTTCATCCACTGCTTCCAGTGAAACTTGGTTTTAACTGCAGGTCGTCGGATAACCGTGACCTCCAGCACCATATATAGTGTACGGCAAATCGGTTGCGTGCGCACGTCTGGATGGATAAGATTTATAACAGTATGCTCAAGGTGATACACTGACATTTGCATCCGTCCCATTCCATTTCGAAAAGACCTCTTCTTGTCATGCGAAAACGAAGCAACTTGGTTTCTACACTACTGCAGCACATGAGCCGCAGTTGGTATTGTTTTGGGAGAAACGGTCGGCAACCACCGGTAACGACAGCAGAGCGCCCTTCTGATTTACACGACTACTGCCAAAGCAAAGTCATATTTTGAATGAACTGTTTAGAGTGCACGGTGTCCTCACCCTACACCACAAGATCAGGCCCTATCACGCCACTAAGCTGCTCGTCTTCCCAAATTCATTAAACCCGACGGGAAGCAGCAGCGACTGCGCTTGAGGAACTTGGGATGTCACTCGTATGGAACAACGGCGTCTATACATGATCATCATCATCATCATCATCAAAGGCAGCAACATCAGTGTTGGCACTGATGCTTCACTGCCGTCTATACATGAGTGAGCACATAGTTGCGAGAGAAGAAAAAACATGAAGATGGACCACTGTGGGCCAACGCCGGAAAAAGATGTCTTCGGATGACACCATCCAGAACAATGGAAACTGCAATGCGACCCATCATTTAATGCATGCAGCTTGGTATCACAAGTAATAGATGGATAACGGATAGAGAGGGCAAGATTACCTTCACCCTAAAAACAGGACCTCATACATTAGATATGCAATAAGTGCTTTGGAGATGAGAAAATATGGTTAAACAGTGTACAAAACAGCTATTTGCAGTATGAATTGCTACGCACCGAGTAGTTGGGCATTCGTTGTCTTAAGAAGGTCTTCACTGAGAGATTTCAAACCCACTCCCATGGAGCGGAGACCTTATGGGGTGGTAGTGTTTACAAGAAAGGAATGCACCCATGAACGGTTGCAATATGACACACCGTGGAAAATTACATAGTCCTGCGGTTCCCCTTCAATAGTATATGTTACAAAAATCAGCTGATCGTGCTGGATTGACGAAGGTTATATAGTTTCATCCACTAATACAAAATAATCCTCAATAAAAGACGCTCATCGGGAGGATAAAAACACTTATTTGTGAGACGTACCCTTTGTTCAGCTGTTTTGTTGACATACGTCCCAATACCCGGTGGTAACTAATGGCGCTATATCATGTCTGCATGAGAAATAATCACAATGCTGATTAGCGGTTTGTCGCCGGGATGTTAAGTGTTCACACTACTAGTCGGGAGTTTACGGGTTCAAGGATCCCTGAGGTTGCACGAGATGCGCGCTACCGATGATTCCCAAAAAGGATGACACAGCTACACAGTGCCTCTCGGGTTTCACTAAGAGGACGAAATCTCGATTGAATTGACCCTAAGCCTGATGGCGTAATAGAAACAGGGACATAATAGACGAATCGACTGCTGATACTTCCATCCGTCTATGGCAACCAAATTTCCAGTTAGCCAGATAGTAGACCAAATAAGCAGCAACCGTTGCAAATTGAATGCAAAAATCAGTGCGAAAGATCCGTGAGTTTCTTCGGTCGTAGCAGTCACACTGTTGAACAACTTTGGCTCGCGTGAACTAGCGCTTCCGTTCAAGGTGCTCATTCATATCTAAGCACACGGAGACGTAAACTTATGACGATGATCAATTTACCAGGCTTGCTGATCGACTGGTGAGATAACATCATTGCGAAGCTGAGATATGAACGAGTATAACATGGAGAACATTTCAAAAACACTGAAGACATAAGCATTCTAGAAGTGATTAAGTATAAATTCCAAAAAGAGGAGCGAACGGAAGCAAAAGACACTCAAAATTAACAAATATAAAGCCATAGTTTCAACCTGGAAAGACGGCAGGAAGAAAAAAGAGGTAGAACTTGTGGCACTCGAAGAAAACGTGGTACTGACCAGCCATTTCCGAGACATGGGGAAGTGAAGGGCTGAATGGAACAACTGATCATCAGAGACACAGCCGAACAATGACATCAAACCAGGTTGGTGAAATACGACGGGTTGTGGTAGTTGAGCGGCATCCAGCTGGGCTGCCCCAACAGAGTTGAACTGGTAGTGTTTATAGACGCTCTGTCCCCAAACAATAGGCACTTCGGAGAAACCACTGGAAATGGATAGGGAAGGTAATGAATTTACATTGTCTTTATGTCTACAAAGAGCGAGCTTGTGGAAATAGCTGATGAGACAACGGCAGAATTGTACTGCACGGGTTCATTGTGACGCATGTACCAGAATCGCGCGGGAATGTATTCACATGAAAACGCAAATCCACAGTATCAATACACAAGTGAAGTGGATTGAAATACAAACCAGCAGTGTTAGTTCGGAAGGAACACGTGACGGACGGTCTATGTAATAACGGCGATAATTGGGAAGCGTAACTAGGATCTTTACTGACTGTCTCATTTGAAGATGTTATGCATATTGATGTGCAACTCTGTCAATGGAACCTTGCTTGGAAATTACGAACAGATCCCTAATGCGTTTCCTCGTGGATAACGCGAGGAAAAATAAGCATGCTGAGTCCTAATACTGTCGACTTCCGGATATAGATACTTTATCTAGGGACTTAAGCAGTTCATCATCTCTTGAGCTTCTATCACGTTATATGGCAGTTAAGCACTGAGAGTGCGACAATGGGACCAACCAATTTAAACTCAAAGTTGAAGACTTACTTTGAATGAGTCATCAGGGTTTTCAAGCAAGAATTCATAAGAAAAAGAATCTGAAGAATCTTTTGATCTAAAAGAGAATGGGTGTGGTTATGAACAACAGGGAACATTACACTAAACGAAGAGCGTCATTATTTCGAGAGATGCAAGACAGACTAAATAAACCGAAATTGGTATGCACCATAACAATGATGTCGAATGAGAAATGCTATGAAGAAGAGACAATCTTGTAGTGAAACAAACTCATATACGGGTGACTGTGCATCATCATAAGCCATCATCTGTTGGAGGATTGAAAACTCCAGTTTCTCCAAATCTTGTTGGTGCAGAAAAACCCGAATCCAATTCTAATTTTGCGTCCACCATTTACTTTTTCCACATTCTCACGTATTCACACAGTGGCAAATGACACAACTCTGTATTGACCACATTAGTCTGCACAACGGGGCGAGATGGCCCAAGTGGTTAGAGCGCGAATGCACTGACCGGAAGGTCGGTGGTTCAAACCCGACATCTGACTCTCGACTTCCTCCGTCTAGGCTTGGGCAACCTGGCAGTATCCCAGCCCTCGTGCAACCTTTGGGTGGCATGGCAGTTAGGCACAGAAAGGGTCTAAAGCTGAACTAGTCTTCACAACAGGTGACTACCAGTCGACTAGCCAAAATCGCACTTCCGCAACACCGGCATCATCAAGGTCGTGAAATAGGGACCAACAAGGGAAATGTACTTTAACTTTTTCAAAACCGATTACATTTATGCTTCCTTTCAGTCACCACTCAATAGAATCGATTGTCATTCTTACTTCTCCTAGGGCATTGGTTTTGGGTTAGTCGTTCTCCAGCGATCTCAAGAAGCTCCTGACTTTGATAGTCTCTGAAGATTGTATCTCTGAACAAGGTTATCCATTTTTCTCATTCAATCTTTGTCTGTTCAAATGAATTTAGCATCTCAATTGTGTTTTCTTATCATGGTTACTTTCGTGTTGTAAAATTTGACTTGGTTTCATTCAGCTCCGCATTTTCATGCATTTGTGTAATTGAGTTTTGTGAACGAGTCACTGAAGTTAGCAGTTCAAACTTTGAGAGTAGTCATTTACTGGTTCATGTAATGAACTATATCGGACACTGAAGAAAAGCGCAGATCTGATATGCTGCAATCTTCCGCCTATATCTAGGTTACTTAAAACAACAATACGAAGGTAGCCCAAAGTAAAAAGGGAGAAGTCTAGTGTCGAGAGAACAAAGACAGTTAACTTTAGACTAACCTGTGGGATGCAAAGTGGCATTGTAGCCCGCTAATAGCCAGAGGACCGGTATTCGTCTGCTGCAGTCGCGCGGACATGTACGTGTAATCTCAAGCAATAAGTCTAGCAGGGAGTCTGAAGAGCAAAGAAAGAACAAACTTAGTGTGGACCACTAAACTTCCCAGGAACAAGGGGATTCAAATAGGGAATCGAATAGAGAGGAAATTTACCTCGCAAGAAAAACTGCTCTGCATAACTAGCTGGACCCGAACAACTTGATTCTTCAACACAGTCAGATACTGAGTCCTTGCGGTTCAGGACAGTAGTGAAGGAAGGTTGACTGAGTATAAGTTTTAGCACACGCTTGGCTTTGAATCCCTTGACCGAATGGATACGAGCCAGATAGACAGCCCGAGCTAAACATCGGTGCACTGTATATACATCAAAATATTGACTGTAGAAGAGAAAAAACGGAAAATAAGTGAGTGATGTCACAGAATTCCTTCGACTGTGAGAAGGTAGCTCAACAGTGGACAACGCTTTTCAACCCAACAACGGACTAGTATGTGAAATAAAGCTCCGGTAATTGGTTCGATAAAGAGTGAAATCGGAGGATATTGAGTTCCATACAACCCTCACCTTATGCATGTATCCAGAATCCCGGGAAGCGTCTGTAGACTGCGGAGGACTTTATCTGAGAGTTGTTCACCATCCGAATCTTCGGGGATAAGGAAATACTTCAGTATTTTGCGAATATCTAAAGCTAGGGCGTGACTGTTACCCGGAAGTGGAATCAACCTTTGGGTAGAGTGTGAAGTGAAGTCCCGTCAAGGTCCGGATCCGGAGCACAGTGCATGGTTTTGTTAGATCCTGTGGTTGCTATCGACAGGACGAAGAAAGTCGGGGAAAGGGTTAATTCATTAGTAAAAATCATAAGCTGCGAATAAGGTGAAATGAAGGAATGCCCGAATCGTGACAGAACACTAGTCATTCAAGATGACGGCTGGTAGTGGCAGTCAGCAATCCATCAGCAGCGCTTTCTTAACATGCAAAGACCACTAGCCTCTCTTCTTTAAAAACAATTACGGCTCGCTTGTACCAGACACAGCAGGTAGTTCAGAGGGTTACAGTTCACATGATGGCTTTACGTGTTTCCTAATTAGCAGGAGGAGTACAGAGAGCCTGGCATCTGCTACGGATCTACGGATGATGGTTAAGAGCACGAAACTAGCTACCTGAGAAACTGGAGGCGCCATCAATCAAGTTTAAGTCAACAAACCTAACGGAGCAACGCTTTAGACACAATCAATGGTAGGAACGCTCAGTCCATTGATTTTGGTGAACCGCGTCAGTGTTTCTGTCAATTCAATCCATTACACAATACGAGTGGTACGGTCTTGATGGAGGTATCTAATTTGCAACTATCATTTGAAAGTCACCAGTCCCATGATTTAGTGATTAGCAAATCCTCCGTGAGTATTTTGGAAGGCAGATGATGACTAATTCGCCATACACTGGGAGTCGGATTTCTGCCGGAGACAGAAAAATAACCAAACACAAACGGGGTAAGCTTCCGCAGGAGCAAATGGTGTGTTGCTGCGAAACTCTGAGCTGAACGTGCTAAGTATTAGTTAATCAGGCGTGACAAAAACTGATTAAAACGTACACAGTTTGCCAAATACGACACTGCACAGACGGGCATACCATGGTTCCATGTAAAGATGAAACAAACATGTCGTTCCTTTTTCGTCAGAAAACGAGGCATGCATAGCAAATTCTATGAGGTCGCGTTCTTTCTGCAAGTAATTCTCTCGTGTACAGACGACAGAGATCAGTCGTATGATAAACGGAGCAGCTAAACGCACCCTGGTACACTGCTTATATGTCACGATAAGTGAGAACGAGGGATAGTCAGAGAGGGAAGAAAGCTAAGTAGGTAATTCGCAGCGCTTGGTTTAGCGGGATGGGGTGATTGAAATATCTACTGGGAAGCCCAAACGGTGTTAATCTTGAAATCACCGGCATTTATTCTAGACCACAGATCACGCCCCAATAACGCTAAAAAACTTTCCCAGTGGAATCCGTCATTCCACAATTACTTGGTTACCGTCTCCCACGCACGTTATTATCTCCCTTGTTTTGAGCTGAACGAGTGAGTTACTAGGTCCCATGATTACTAACTGGACCGACAAGGTAGCTGTAACTGATACAACAAACACGTTTGGGACGAGATCATACGAGTCAAAAATAGAGGCAACAATACCTAGAAGGAAAATTAACATGTTGCGCTGTGTGTACTGCCTTACTAGGATCAGAAGCCGCGGCTTCTTTCGGCGGTTCCTGGTTTTGGGGAAGCACTTGATCTTCAAGTACGCTCGTATCAAATCGTTGTTTGTTGAATACGTGTTCGAAACGTCGCATCCATTCGGTAGTGGGCATGCGCTGTGCGAAGAAGACGGGTCAAAACACAAAAATTATCGAAAAGGTTGAATTGTACAATGGCATATAATATAACCTTACAAGCATATGCCACGAGCTGACATGATGAGCTTCATCTTCACACAGTGTGCTTAAGGAGAAATGCCCGCTTGTTAGAATAACCATATGATGAAACCTATAAAACTCGCCTCAAAAACCAACTGACGTATCTGTTGTATCAGTTGTTCTTTCTCTGGTGTGGCAGTAGTTGTGCTGAATCGTTCATTCGTTGATAGCCACGTGAGGAGAATGAGAATATTGGCACGCAGAAGAGTCATTAATTGATCTGCCTTGGCCACAACATCACTGTCCTCTTGGAACTACAGAAAGGAAAGAAGAAGAACGAACGGAAGCGACAAAAAAATTGCGGACTGGACGGAAACCGCTGGCTGTAACATCCTGTAATGATAAGAGGATTGACGGCAAGTGGAGTCCACTGTGAGATGAACGTGCATGGCAAACAAAAAGGAAGGGACTCCTAGTATGAAACTTTGTGGCACTTTTGGTTGAACGCGTCCAGTAAGCTCCAGGCGCACTCTAAATGCAGTCACCTAGTTAACAAGATGTCACCGAAAACAATGAAATAGGTTTGAAGCTGACGAACAAGTGGTAGTTCAGAAAGGACACAGGTGATGCAGACGAGCAAGATCATTGAAGTGCTATACGGAACAACACTTGCAGCTCAAACAAAACAAAATACTAGTTTCCCTGAAACTGCGTCAAAAAAACTTATGAAAATGATACACCATAGGAGGACCAGGTTTGCTAAGTGCATTCGGTCCAACCGCTCTGTCAAAGTAAAATATGTTGCCTACTCTGAGCTACTTATGAGTAGGCAAGTATCGAAGGATAAACTGTCTAGAAAACTAGGTCGTCGAAGTTACCGCGTGCTTAGGGTGGATGTATGAAATTATAACACTCAGCTATGAAAGAATAACCAACCAAAACAGTAGTTCTGAACAATGAGAGTCTCTGGGTACGATCGATATATGGCCGCGCTTCATATTTCCGTTTTACTTGCTTTAAAACTGAGATTCTCGTACACGAAAATTTCCAGGTTAATAATTTCCATCGTAGATGGGCTACCCACCCTCCTGATCATGAATTTTCCTCTCCTGCTGTTTAGTCTCCGTTTCCCAAGTTTCATCCAAATCAGTGGCTTAGTTGCTATGGTCTATCAAAGTTTTTTTAACCTTGAGTAGTGACACTTGCGATTACAACCTGTACCGTTGTTTTCGCCTACCTCCAGAGCGGAAAATGCAACAATAACACGGTGATTCAACTATGGGCGCGTTGGTTTGGGACAGAGGCCACAATATAATGCAATATTCACGACCACGTTACTAAACGATTAATGAGGCTGCACTAAGCCTCGGTAGATTTTCTTCTGTCAAGGGATTTCGGACGAATCCATCCCTTGAGAGCGATCCTTTGGATGAAAAAATATAATGGCACTGACCAAAGGAAAACCCTCTCGTAACATACAAGAAGCATCAGGTTTATGTAGAGTCCGCGCCTAAAAAATAAGAGTACATTATGGAAACCGTTATTGACCCGCCTTGAAATATCGCAACCTGACGAACTAGATAAACAACTACCAATCACTCTTTATTTTCTCCTGGAACACCTTATCGATTTCTGTCGTCTTTCTTGAAACCCAGTTGATTCAGGTTACCCGAATTCATATTTCATGTTCAAATGAAGATATTGATACGAACGGTCGAAAATATACGCTGAAGATGACAGTTTTGTCGGTAGCAAGCTACTTCGAGTCTGCGGCGAGCTGATTCTACAATCGCTGAACAAATGATACTGTGGTGATAAACACTCATTCATCAATTAAGTTGATGCTATGGATAAGCAACTGATATTCAACTGAACCTCTTAGTTATAATATTCTTCAGATTAGTGTGTTGCACAAAGGACACATTCGGAAGGTATATTCACATTACATTTCTCACAAGGTCGACGAAAACCCTGAACAACTCACTACCGGTTTCACTCTTCTTAGGGCATATCAGATGGACTTAGTCCCAGGAGAATATTATACAAGCGAGATTCAACTGAACTTCAGTCAACACCAGCTTACTTTGAAGATAGGTGTTTATCGCCACACATGTTCAATCCGGTGCTCAAGTATGATAAATCCGGGAATCGCGCGGACCTGATGGGCCCCAAGAAAATCGAAACCGGAAAGGACTGCCCGGAGTTTTAATCGATTTTACGGGTAGTATCACGTCACACGAGTTCACCCCAACAAAGTTGTAAGGCAAGACCATTTTGGTGAGCACACACATAGTAATGCAGAGAACTATCACCTCTGTTCCACACTTTATTCACTGGCCATGACGTTTCACCCACAACCAGTCATTGTTCTAATAACGATGTGTTTACCAATATGACCTTGCTAAGCAGGTTTGATGTCAGAAAATTCCAAAGGAATGTTAAGAGTCAGAAAGAAAGAAAGCCACGTGTTTCCATTATGCAGACCGAATTAAGCTGAAGCGCACCTTCGAACACCGTGAGGCCACAAAAAACAAACATCCTATCCGTTCATCGATAGACGTGGGTCTGAAAAGTATATGGTTCATGTGTTCTAAGAGCAGCTCTCAAAGGACTTCAAGTACTCACGCAGGATAATGACTAAGAGAGGTTCCCGCAGTAAAGAAAGTGCCCTCTTATCAGAGTGATCCGATGCAATGTTAGAGTAGACGATAAACGTCATTGTTGATAGTCCATAGGAGTAGTCTCTCTTCAAGAAAGTCATGCTTGGGATGTTTACATGATTCAAAACGACTTCCACAAAGGAAATTGCATTCAAATAATACTTACATGAAGAGCATTTCCCAACGGTTCAACAAGCTTAGGAGACAGGAAACAACTGTCCACTATCACCCTGGATACTTGTTCTGGATTAGGCCACTGATCAAGTGCGCGCATCAACCAACTGACCAAGTGAACCTTGCAAGCTTTGAATATCTGGAAGAACGATATGAAAAACACAACACCAAATAACGGGATTTCAAAAAACTGGTGTACAAAAGGACCAACCTGTCGTGCGCTGGTGAAGAAAAAACTGAAAATAAGAGTAACAAAGGAGTGGGCAGAATCACCAGAGATAGACCAAGAAAGCACTCCTATGACCCATGCAAATGTAAACGGCTGTTTAGCACTGTGGGTGCGTGCAACTCGGTGATGGAAGAACTGGACGAAGGAAGCACAACGTATCACATTCTTTTTTTTTTTACAATAATTTGAAATACGTTCCTGGATAACAGTTGCCCTATAGAAGGGATTGTAAGAATCGTTCAGCTTTAGGTGCCGAGCTGCCATGCCATCCGAAGAAGCACGAAGAGGGTGATGCTGGCAGATTCCCCCAGTCTAGACAGGAGCAGTCGAGATGCTGAGGTTTCGTTCGAAACGCGGACTTTCAGTCCGTACTCTAACTATTGAGTCATCTCGAACTCAAAAGGGTCAATAGGGTTTACGGTACCATGAGACCTGGCAGATCTCATCACCAGCTGTAATTTCTAAACAGATACCCCAGAGGTTTTCGTAGTGTGAATCAAGTGGGGGGGGGTTTGAAGGAATTATGGGTGTGTGGTCTAGATTGGGTACTTACTGATGGATTGAAATTGATGGAAGATGTTGCTACATACAGTATGAATAAAAACTGACTTCGTCGTTAGCCGCGAAAACCTAGTTAGTAGGAAATGTTCGGGCTTCAGATCAGAGTAATGGGCCTCAGTCGTCAAGACCGTAGTTGTTAATTTCGTACACCGGAAGAAAACGCTAGTTGTGCTCATTTCGCCATCCGTTTTATCCAGGGCTTCCAAACGATTTGAATTCTGTTGACGAAACTTATTATAACCTGCATTTATCAAGTAGAATAACTTTCTACCACTCGGTGGTTTTATTGCCCTTCTTTCCCACATCTGGCTGTATCCTCCTGCAGTTAGTGAACATCTGGCTACTAACCACAATGAGTTATACGGAAGATATACTAGGTTTTTTAAAATGCCGTACATGACAGTCCCATAGGTCTGTTCACATACACATTAGCAGTCTTAGGAATAAAAAAATAGACGAGTAACGACAAGTATTAGGACAAAAATACGCGCCTACGCATTTATTGAATGTCGTCAAGCTTCGTGCAACATCACCGATAATGCACTAAAAAACTGGCGTACTGCTACCAACTGAGCCCTAGAACATGCACACAATATTTGACCACAACGTCATCAGCGATAAGATGAACAAAATTATGTGCCTGAAGTGTAGGAAAACGACACCATGGATGTGTCGGGTTCTTACTTTGGAAACTAACTCCATCATGCTAAACCAGTTGCTGGAGGATGCACGTGGCTGTAGAAACGGGGCCACATGGTCCAGGTAGGGGCGGATGACATCCGGAGAGGCACACATGCTTTCCACCACTAACTGGGAACGAAGAGGGTCGGCGTATGCTGCTTCCATTGGTGGTGACGTCAACGCCGAGAAAATCAAACCATTGGCAAGCCTGGGTTAGTCAACACCACATGGAAAGTATGGATAGTTATTCCGATGAGTCTTCTTCCCAAAAAAGAAACTAAAATTATGTACCAAAAGGACTACCCATTGCACCATCCTAATCACCTGAAGCAGGCTAAAAGCAGCGCGATTACGGGCAACAGGATGAGAAAACTGGGAATTGCAGCAGATTGAAGGTACACTAAGATAGAAAAAACGCATGTTCATATTAGAAATTACATGGCCACTAGGTTTTCTAACCATTCGATTCCGCTCGATTATGAAGGCTCCAGTAGTGTCCACTTTTAGGTTCAAACCACAACCTGAGCAGTGAGGTGAAGTGATAAAGCGTAGAGTTCGCGGTGCACTTGGAGCCGGTTCCGGGAACGGAGCCAGAGTGCCGAAAGTGCGATACCAGCACTAAAGGCCACTTAGCGGTAGCATACAGAGTGGTGCGCTAGATGCAGCTAACGCGAAAACCGTGGGCTTAACATAAACCGACAGTCGCTTACAACATGCAGTGTAAAACGTAAGGATGATAGGTGGCTTTTCAGTTCAGCCAAACCGATCTTGATGATATTGTTGAAAGGAATCGAAATTTGGCATATTAGGTCGAAACACCCTGACTATAGTATAAGAATGGGTGGGACCTCCAAAACCAGTATGAGCCAGGCAACTTGCGTTTCCTGCCTACTGACACGGACAAAATATAAGTGCCCGAAAGAGCCCCTTTCAAAACGGAAAGCCTGCCGTATGAACTGGAATTATTTCTGTACCCAAATGAAAACGAATGTGAAATGGGTACAGTATCAAATAAGCCGGCAGATATGTTCTTCAACAAATCTAGCTATCTGGGTGAGTTCCTACCAACATTGGTACCAGTTAGAAACGACTTGCAGGCCGTACGGTTGTTCTGACAGTCATACGATTTGGTCGCTACATTCCGGTTGGGGGGGGGGAATCACAACTCGGCAATAAACGTTCTGTTGGTCAAGTAAAGTAAGCACTGCACTGCAAAACCAACAAACA